TCAAAAAAAAAAAAAAAAAAAAAAGAATGCCAACAGTAAGTATAGAACAAATGAAGGAATCAGAAAGTCTCTATTTGGAGGCCATCATAGTAATAGCTCTGTAGTAACTGATTCAATCAGGAATCATCAATGGAAACTTAAATTATCATGTGAAAGTTTGATGAGAAACTGGATGCCTACAGAGTTTCAAATTATCTTCTGGAAGATTCTAATTAAGGACAAAAGGAAAAACAGTGGAGAAACCTGAAAGACACCATGTTAAGCAAGTGTTCAAGGTGAAATCACCAGTAATGGGACAAATCCACATCCTGAGCACTGAGGACACTTCACTTCTGTGGCAATCCTGTTAAAAATGTACTGAATCTAATCATGAGGAAGCATCAGAGAAACCCAAATTGAGAGACATTATAGAAAATAATTGGTTTGGCTGGGCGCGGTGGGTCATGCCTATAATCCCAGCACTCCAGGAGGCCGAGTCAGGCAGATCACCTGAGGATGGGAGTTCGAGACCAGCCTGGCCAACATGGAGAAATCACGTCTCTACTAAAAATACAAAATTAGCCAGGCCTGGTGGCGCACGCCTGTAATCCCAGCTACTTGGGAGGCTGCGGCAGGAGAATCGCTTGAACCTGCAAGGCAGATGAGCTGAGATTGCACCATTGCACTCTAGCCTGGGCAACAAGAGCAAAACTCTGTCTCAAAATAATAATAATAACAATAACAATAATAATAATAATAATATTTGGTTTGCACTCTTCAAAAATATTAATAGCATGAAAGACAAAGAACGACTGAGGAACTGTTGCAGATTTTAAAATCTGACAGTGAAATGAGATAGCGATTCTGGGTGGATCCTGGACCATAAAAACCAAAACAAATTGGGAAGCTGAGGCGGGCAGATCACCTGAGGTCAGGAGTTTGAGACCAGCCTGGCCAACATGGAGAAACCCTGTCTATACTAAAAATACAAAAATTAGCAGGGTTGGGTGGCAGGCAGCTGTAATCCCAGTTACTCGGGAGGCTGAGGCAGGAGAATTGCTTGAACCCAGGAGGTGGTGGTTGCAGTGAGCCAAGATGGTACCACTGCACTCTAGCCTGGGCGACAGAATGAGACTCTGTCTCGAAAACAAACAAACAAAAACAAAACAAAACAAAGCTGCATGCAGGGGCGAGCCTGTAGTTCCAGTTACTCAGGAGGCTGAGGCGGGAAGATTGCTTGAGTTCTAGAGTCTAGCTTGGGCCAGGCGCAGTGGCTCACTCCTGTAATCCCAGCACTTTGGGGGGCCGAGGTGGGCGGATCATGAGGTCAGGAGATCGAGACCATCCTGGCTAACACGGTGAAACCCTGTCTCTACTAAAAATACGAAAAATTAGCCGGGCGTGGTGGCGGGCGCCTGTAGTCCCAGCTACTCGGGAGGCTGAGGCAGAAGAATGATGTGAACCCGGGAGGTGGAGCTTGCAGTGAGCTGAGATTGCATCACTGCACTCCAGCCTGGTAGACAGAGTGAGATTTTGTCTCAAAAAAAAAAAAAAAAAGGCCGGGCGCGGTGGCTCAAGCCTGTAATCCCAGCACTTTGGGAGGCCGAGACGGGCGGATCACGAGGTCAGGAGATCGAGACCATCCTGGGTAACACAGTGAAACCCCGTCTCTACTAAAAATACAAAAACTTAGCCGGGCGAGGTGGCAGGCGCCTGTAGTCCCAGCTACTCGGGAGGCTGAGGCAGGAGAATGGCGTGAACCCGGGAGGCGGAGCTTGCAGTGAGCTGAGATCCGGCCACTGCACTCCAGCCTGGGTGACAGAGCGAGACTCCGTCTCAAAAAAAAAAAAAAAAAAAAAAAAAAAAAAAAAAAAAAAGAGAGTCTAGCCTGGGTAACATAGCAAGATCCCATCTCTAAAGAAAAAACACTAAAACACCAAAACCCAAACCAAATAATTTGTTTTCTCTTGTGCTCTCAGGGACATTATTGGGAGAACTGACTAAATCTGAGTAAGGTCTGCAGATTAGTTATAGTATTTTAATAATGCTGATTTCTTAATTTTGATTACTGTACTGTGGTTATGTAGAAGAATGCCCCTGCTTTTACAAATACACATTGAGGTAATTAGGAGTCAAGTAGCATCAGCATCTGGTCTGTAATTTACTCTGAAAAGTGTGTGTGTCTGTGTGTCTGTGTGTTTGTGTATGAGAGAGAGAGAGAGAGACAAAGGGAGAGAAAAGATTTGGGGAATCTTGGTGAAGGGTTTGTGAGAATTCTTTGTAGTAATCTTGTAACTTTAACTTTTCTGTAAGTCTGATATTATTTCAAATACACACACATACACCCCTTTGATATCTTTGATACCAAAACAAATAAACTGAACATCCTTAATCATAAGTAATTTTTGTTTCCTTAGGATTCTTAGTGAAATTAGTAAGTCAAAGGTATATGGTTTAAAAAATTAATATATATTATATATATAAATACATATGTGTATATATTACATATATATATATATAATCTTTGAGATGGAGTCTCATTCAGTCTGTTGCCCAGGCAGGAGTGCAGTGGCATGATCTTGGCTCACTGCAACCTCCACCTCCTAGGTCCAAGTGATTCTCCTGCCTCAGCCTCCTAAGTAGCTGGGACTACAGGTGTGTGCCACCACACCCAGCTAATTTTTGTATTTTTAGTAGAGACAGGGTTTCACCATGTTGGTCAGGATGGTCTTGAACTCCTAACCTCAAGTGATCTGCCCACCTCGGCCTCCCAAAGTGCTGAGATTACAGGCATGAACCACAGCTCCTGGCTGATATATATATTTAAAAGATTGATATTGGCTGAGCACAGTGGCAAATGCCTATAATCCCAACACTTTGGGAGGTCAAGGCGGGCAGATCGCTGGAGCCCAGGAGTTCGAGACCAGCCTGGGCAACATGGTGAAACCCTGCCTATAAAAAAAATACAAAAATAGTTGGGCATGGTGGCTTGCTGTGTTCCCAGCTACTTGGGAGGCTGAGGCGGAGGGAACGCTTGAGCCTGGGAGGCAGAGGCTGCAGTGAGCTGAGATTTCGCCACTGCATGCTAGCCTGGGCAACAGAGTGAGACTGTCTCAAAAAAAAAAAAAAAAAAAAGATTTTGAAATATGTTGATATATACAAACAGAAGTTTTTGAATCCTTCTGAATGTGGATGAGGACAAAGGCAGGGGAAACGCAGGACTGAGGGGTGGAAGGTAGGGTATGGCATGGGTCCTCCCAGATGAGAAGAAGAGGAGCTGGAACTATGGAGCATGCTCAGAATGAGTGGGAACCAAAAGATGGAGCCGTCGAAGTATCAGTAGATGACAGTGAAGGACTAAAGCTCATGACCACTTGAGATTCTTTTCAGAAACATAATCCTTATGTGGTTTACCAATTGCCCACAGTAATTAACCTGCATAATAGTATAGTAAGAGCAGGCTCAGGTCAGGTACTTGGTCAAATGAGAGTGCCTCGATTTCTCCCTTTATGTGCTTCCCTCTGCTGCAGGCCAGTTACCCACTATAGAGTCACGCTGAGTCCCTGAGCCTTTCCTGTTGGCAACCAAGAAGCAGCTACCACATCTTCAACAAGTCCATAGTCACATGTCCTAGTAGCCTGCTGTACAATGTAAATAAATAATCTAAAATAAGCTTTCATTTTAAATGCCCATAATGAATTTAATTAAGTATAAATACAGGCTTCTATTGAGTATTTGCTATTTGCCAGGGTCTATGTCTAAGTGCTTTGTTTAGATTATCTCATTTCACCCTCCTGATAACTCCATGGGATGGCAGTATCATTATCCCCATTTCACTGTTGGAGACAATTAAGTCTAGAGCAGTAAGTTAACTTTTTCCATGTCATAAAGCTTAGATTCAAACTCAAGAGTCTAACTCCAGAGTCTCCACTCTACAATGGATTAAAACACTTAAGAAGAAAAAAGGTCGGGTGTGGTGGCCTGTAATCCCAGCACTTTGGGAGGCCAAGGCCAGGGGATTTCTTGAGCCCAGGAGTTTAAGACCAGCCTGGACAACATGGCAAACCCCCAAATCTACAAAAAATACAAAAAACTAGTCAGGTGTGCTGGTATGTGCTTGTAGTCCCAGCTACCTGGGAGGCTGAGATGGGAAGATCATCTGAGCCTAGATGGTTGAGGCTGCAGTGAGCCATGACTGTGCCACTGCCCTCCAGCCTAGGCGACAGAGTGAGACCCCCTACCCCCGTCCCCTGGCAAAAAAGAAAATCAAGAAAAAAGATAACCAGTCATAAGTGTAAAAAAAAATTTTTTTTTTTTTGAGACTCACTCTATCACCCAGTGCAGTGGTACAATCATGGCTCACTGCAGCCTCAACCTCCTGTGCTCAAGCTATTCTTCTGCCTCAGCCTCCAGAGTAGCTGGGACTACAGGTGTGCACCACCACACTCAGCTAATTTTTAAATTTTTGGTATAGGCAGGGTCTCACTATGTTGCCCAGGCTGGCCTTGAACTATTGGGTTCAAGTAATCCTCCAGCCTCGGTCTCCCAAACTGTTGGGATTACAGGCATGAGCCACTACACCTGGCCTAAAATTTTTAAGAAATTGGGAGTCGGCCGGGCGCGGTGGCTCAAGCCTGTAATCCCAGCACTTTGGGAGGCCGAGACGGGCGGATCACGAGGTCAGGAGATCGAGACCATCCTGGCTAACACCGTGAAACCCCGTCTCTACTAAAACATACAAAAAACTAGCCGGGCGAGGTGGCGGGCGCCTGTAGTCCCAGCTACTCCGGAGGCTGAGGCAGGAGAATGGCCTAAACCCGGGAGGCGGAGCTTGCAGTGAGCTGAGATCCAGCCACTGCACTCCAGCCCGGGCTACAGAGCAAGACTCCGTCTCAAAAAAAAAAAAAAAAAAAAAAAAAAAAGAAATTGGGAGTCTAGGATGAAAATTATATTCTAGTAAATACACATCTCATTTTTCCACTCTATAATCAGCCAAATATTTATTTGGGAAAGGGCATTACCTGGCAGAAGAATTGTTGCTGGGTTCCTGCTCCAGGTGTGTTACTGAAGGTGCTGGTACACTTGGAAGAAGAAACTGGAAGACGATGAGACACACTGACTGGTACTGGAGTCCTGTTCGGCTGCGTCAGCTGATCTCCCGTAAAGTTTGATCCTGATGAACCAGACTGAACTGCAGACCCAAGGCTAGGATGGGCAGTGCTGGCTGAGCTGACAGCAGGGAACCGACTAGGTCCTGACATGCTTGTCACCGAGGGCATGGTGGTGAAGCCAGGTCTTCCTTGGGAAACGCTGCTCTGCCCAGGTGACAGGTGTAATACGGTTGGGGATGCCTGCTGCAAGGGCATCTGTCCACCCACAAGCTGAGGAGAGGCATGATTGGCTATCACTGGACTTCCAGAGGCAGCAAATGTCTGCCCAGACACTAAGTGGACGGCAGTATTCTGGTTGTTAAGCATCTGTCCAGAATATGGTTGGTTGGTCCTGAGCATGTTGGAAGAGTTTCTGTTCAACATGACATGCTCTGAGGCCACTTGGCCAGAAATGAGCTGAGAGGGTTGAGTCTGAAGAAGTTGCCCATTTATAGTCTGGACGTGGTGTACCGAGTTGGAACTGACAGAAAGGCTTGTAGGTATGAGGAACTGACTTTGGGGTGCGTGAGGCTGGCCCATGGGGGAATGAATAACAATACTGCCCCCAGCGCTGCTCACTGCCTGTGAGGTGACTGGCTTTCTTGTGTTCTGTTGGTTTACAATGTTCACAGACATGTGTGGACCAACTACTGAGCCCTGGGGTGAGCTTGCAGAAGCAAAAGAGATCCCTTGTTGTACGTGGTGCTGCTGAATTCCCAAATTGTTCACATTGTATGTATTTTGCTGACCCATCTGGATAGGCTTTGGCTGTATATTAATTGGGACTTTATTTGAATTTGGTGCAAGACCCCTTTGTATGATGATGTTATGCACAGGTAAAGATGTTTGAAAATTTGTGCTGTTAAATGGAACAGTAACAGGCTGTGCTACTGGACTGGAACTGGAGTTCCCAAACAAGGAGTTGCCATTAGGAGTCTGTCTATGAACCAGGAGCCCTCCACTCACATTTGATGGGGCTTGCTGCCCGCTGCCCTTTAATATGATTTGAGATCCATCTAGGTTATTAATAGTCATCATGGAAGGATGATTACCAAATGACCCAATTAATTGTATTTGACCAGAACCACTAATCTGACTGCTATTAGACAAATGCTGGCTGGGAACACTGATCCCCACATGTTGCATAAAGCCATGTTGTACACCCACTGTATTGCTTGCAAACGATGCTCCAACAGGCACATGCGTCACCCCTATAGGCTGCAGCGTCTGACCTGAGTAATTAGAAACATTAGAAGCCTGAGTAAAGGATGCTGATGAAGAAGGATGAAGCTGAGCTTGTGCAAACTGTTGGCTTGAACCTATACTGGCATCCAAATATGCCTCTTCTGCCAATGTCTGTTCAGTGATATTGGCCTCTTGCAAGGATTTCTGAAGAATGTCGAAAGGTTGGTCCTCAGTGAGATCAGGAAGAGGAGAAGACTCGAGTTCATCTTCAAGGAACTGGAGGCTACTTGAAAGTGGCAGTCCATCACTGGGCCCTTCTCCAAGCTGGTTGCTTACACCTTTGAGGGATGACTTAGGATCAGCATTCTAAAAAAATAAACAGTATGTTACATGGCATATGTAACCTTTGAAAAGGATGTATAAAAATTAATCTTACTTTTGAACATGAATAAAGCACAACAGTCTGCTTTTCAGGCACAACTCTCTAAACTGCTCACCTTATTCTGATATTTTATTTCCATAGTAATGATGCTTGATGTTATGTTTATAAGCATATGCATCCATCATGCTGGTAAATTATTTTATAGAGAACAGATAGATAATGCAAACATACTGAGGACTACTTAGAGCTTAGCTTCATTTTTTTGAGATACTGCCACAGACTTTATTTACTTATTAGTTTATTTTTTGATCTGGGGTCTCGTTCTTTTGACCAGGCTGGAGTGCAGTGGCCCAATAATAACTCGCTGCTGCTGTGAACTCCTGGGTTCATGAGATCCTCCCACCTCGGCCTCCTGAGTAGCTGGGACTACAGGTGTGCCCCACCATACCCAGCTATATTTTTTTGTTTTTTGTTTTTAGAGATGGGGTTTCACCATCTTGCCCAGGCTGGTCTTGAACTCCTGCATGCAAGTAATCCTCCTGCTTCGGCCTCCCAAAGTGCTGGGATTACAGGCGTGAGGCACCATCCCCGGCCTCAGAGCATTTTCCATATTTCTACTACACCGACATGATGCAAAAAAAGTTGCCAATAGCCGGGCGCGGTGGCTCAAGCCTGTAATCCCAGCACTTTGGGAGGCCGAGACGGGCGGATCACGAGGTCAGGAGATCGAGACCATCCTGGCGAACACCGTGAAACCCCGTCTCTACTAAAAAATACAAAAAAAAACTAGCCGGGCGAGGTGGCGGGCGCTTGTAGTCTCAGCTACTCGGGAGGCTGAGGCAGGAGAATGGCGTAAACCCGGGAGGCGGAGCTTGCAGTGAGCTGAGGTCCGGCCACTGCACTCCAGCCTGGGTGACAGAGCGAGACTCCGTCTCAAAAAAAAAAAAAAAAAAAAAAAAAAAAGTTGCCAATAAATACATATTGAATGAAGCAATTTGAAAAGATAGAATTAATACTCACATGGAAGTAGGAGAGTTGCTAAATAAAAATCATGAATGTTGAGGGATAGGCTAAATAACTACTTTATGGGCTTAGTGGCATCATATGTAGTGATTATTTATTCAAAATGAATGTCAGAAATGCTACTGATTCACAAGCCTTACAGGAGATCAATGTTGTGACAGATATATCTTGCATGATATGATCTTATGTACCTTACACACACGCGACCATTAAAAAGAACTGTCCATCCCAAGGACTTTCCGAACACCATTCCATTTTATAGATGAAGAAAATATAGGTCCTGATGATAGTAAGTTAATATTTACTAAGCACCATACCAAGTGATTTCAACAGTCTAGTCAACTAATCTTAACCACCCTCTCAGGTAATTCTATTGTTATTCTGGTTTCGTAAATGAGGAAACTGGCCAGGCGCGGTGGCTCACACCTGTTAATCCCAGCACTTTGGGAGGCCGAGGTGGGTGGATCACCTGAGGTTGGGAGTTCGAGACCAGCCTGACCAACATGGAGAAACCCTGTCTCTACTAAAAATACAAAATTAGCTGGGCATGGTGGCGCATGCCTGTAATCCCAGCTACTCAGGAGGCTGAGAGAGGAGAATCGCTTGAACCTGGGAGGCGGAGGTTGCGGTGAGCCAAGATTGTGCCATTGCACTCCAGCCTGCGCAACAAGAGCGAAACTTTGTCTCAAAAAAAAAAAAAAAAAAGAGGAAATTGACCCTCACAGAGATTTAGTGATATATCTAAGGTTACACGGCTAATAAGTGGTAGGGCAAGGATTCAACCTTGGGCAGTTCAACTTCTGACTACCATCCACGGCAGAACAAAGCAACTATAAAGAGTAAGGGAACCTAAGGCTCAAACACAGTAATCTCAATATAGTCTCCAGGCAGGACACCCCAATCCCCCAGGTCAGGTTTCCTGCCTAGATGCTTCTAGAGGTTAAGAACATGGAGGTTGGGCGCAGTAGCTCACGCCTGTAATCTGAGCACTTTGGGAGGCTGAGGCGGGTGGATCACTTGAAGTCCGGAGTTCAAGACCAGCCTGGCCAACTGGGTGAAACCCCGTCTCTACTAACAATAGGAGGTGGAGGTTGCAGTGAGCCGAGATTACACCACGGCACTTCAGCCTGGGCAACAGAGCGAGACTCTGTCTCAAAAACAAAAGAACATGAGTTCCAGAGCCTGGCGGCCTGGGTTAGAATCCTAGCTCTGCAACTCATGGCTTTGTACTATTTGGCGAAGTAACTTAACCTTTCTGTGCTTTACTTTCCTCATCTCTAAAATATGTATCTTTTTTTTTCCCCCCGAGACAGAGTCTTACTGTGTCACCCATGCTGGAGTGCAGTGGTCCGATCTCAGCTCACTGCAACTTCCGCCTCCCAGGTTCAAGCAATTCTGTCTGCCTCAGTCTCCCAAGTAGCTGGGATTACAGGTGCCCACGACCACACCCATTTAATTTTTGTATTTTTTAGTAGAGACAGGGTTTCGCCATGTAGGCCAGGCTGGTCTTGAACTCCTAACCTCAGGTGATCCACCCACCTCGGCCTCTCAAAGTGTTGGGATTACAGGTGTGAGCCACCGTGCCTGGCCAAAATATGTATCTTAATAGAACCGCTTCATGGAATCATTGTGAAGATTAAATGAGGTTAATACATGTTTTGGGTTTCTTTTTTTTTTTTTTTTGAGACGGAGTCTTGCTCGATGTCGCCCGGGCTGGAGTTCAGTGGCTGCCATCTTGGCTCACTGCAAGCTCTGCCTCCCGGGTTCATGCCATTCTCCTGCCTCAGCCTCCCGAGTAGCTGGGACTACAGGTGCCCGCCACCACGCCCAGCTAATGTTTTGTATTTTTAGTAGAGACGGGGTTTCATTGTGTTAGCCAGGATGGTCTTGATCTCCTGACCTCGTGATCCGCCTGCCTTGGCCTCCCAAAGTGCTGGGATTACAGGCATGAGCCACCGCGCCCGGCGGGTTTCTTTTTTTTTTGAGATAGGGTCTCACTCTGTCGCCTAGGCTGGAGTGCAATGGCACAATCTTGGCTCACTGCAGCCTCCAACTCCTGGGCTCAAGGGATCCTGCCTCAGCAGGACTGGGACTACAGGCATGCACCACCATGCTCAACTTTTTTTTTTTTTTTGAGACCGAGTCTTGCTCTGTCGCCTGGGCTGGAGTGTGCAGTAGTGTGATCTCGGCTTACTGCAAGCTCTGCATCCCGGGTTCACGCCATTCTACTGGCTCAGCCTCCCGAGTAGCTGGAACTACAGGCGTCTGCCACTAATTTTTTTGTATTTTTAGTAGAGACGGGGTTTCACCATGTTGCCAGGATGGTCTCAATCTCCTGACCTCATGATCTGCCCACTTCAGCCTCCCAAAGTGCTGGGATTATAGGCGTGAGCCACTGCGCCCAGCCAATGTTTTTTTTTTTTTTTTTTTTGAGATGGAGTCTTGCACTGTCGCCCCGGCTGGAGTGCAGCGGTGTGATCTTGGCTCACTGCAACCTCCGCCTCTGGAGGTTCAAGCAATTATCCTGCCTCAGCCTCCTGAGAAGATTAAATTACAGGCACACACCACCACACCCGTCTAATTTTTTGTATTTTTAGTAGAGATGGGGTTTCACCATGTTGGCCAGGCTGGTCTCGAACTCCTGATGTCGTGATCTGCCCACTTCGGCATCCCAAAGTGTTGGGATTACAGGCGTGAGCCACCGTGCCTGGCCACTGGTCTAATTTTTAAATTTTTTGTAGAGATGGGGTCTCACTATGTTGGTTGGTCTCAAAGTCCTGAGGTCAAGTAATTCTCCTGTCTTGGCCTCCTAAAATGGTGGGATTACAGGCATGGGCCACCACATCTGCCTGAGGTTAATATATGTTAAGCTCTTAATGCCAAGCACATACTAAATGCTCAAGTGTTACTTATTATCTTTTTTTTCTCATTTAAGATGAAAACAACTTATAAGTAACTATGAATTAAGAATAATTTCCTCAAAGATTATTATGTAACAAGGTTCAAAACATTCTAATATGACCTTCTCAGGTTGTAACATTTCTGAGTCATTTTAGAAAGAATGTTGAGGCCAGGTGCAGTGGCTCACGCTTGTATTGGGGTGGGGATCACTTGAGGTCAGGAATTCAAGACCATCATGGCCAACATGGAGAAACACCATCTCTACTAAAAATACAAAAATTAGCTGGTGTGGTGGTGGGCATCTGTAACCCCAGCTACTAGGGAGGCTGAGGCAGGAGAATCGCTTGAACCCAGGAGGCAGAGGCTGCAGTAAGCCGAGATCGTGCCACTGCACTCCAGCCTAGGCAAGAGAGCAAGATTCCATCTCAAAAAAAGAAAGAAAGTTGAAAGCTTAGAAAAATGGCAAAGTGGGCCGGGCGCGGTGGCTCAAGTCTGTAATCCCAGCACTTTGGGAGGCCGAGACGGGCGGATCACGAGGTCAGGAGATCGAGACCATCCTGGCTAACACAGTGAAACCCCGTCTCTACTAAAAAAAAATACAAAAAAATTAGCCGGGCGAGGTGGTGGGCGCCTGTAGTCCCAGCTACTCGGGAGGCTGAGGCAGGAGAATGGCGTAAACCCGGGAGGCGGAGCTTGCAGTGAGCCAAGATCACGCCACTGCACTCCAGCCTGGGCGACAGAGCGAGACTCCATCTCAAAAAAAAAAAAAAAAAAGAAAAATGGCAAAGTGGATATATAGCTTGCCTTTTTATTATTTAAAAGACAACCTCATATAGCTTGTCTTTTTATTGTTTATTATTTATTTCATTTGTATTTATTTATTTATTTATTTATTTTTGAGACAGAGTCTTGCTATGTGGCCAGGCTTGAGTGTAATGGCACAATCTCGGCTCACTGCAACCTCTGACTCCCTGGTTCAAGCGATTCTCCTGCCTCAGCCTCCTGAGTAGCTGGGATTACAGGCATGTGCCACCACGCCCAATTTTGTGTTTTTAGTAGAGACGGGGTTTCACTGTGTTGGCCAGGATGGTCTCAATCTCCCGACCTCATGATCTGCCTGCCTCAGCCTCCCAAAGTGCTGGAATTACAGGAGTGAGCCACCGTGCCTGGCGTATTATTTTATGTTATTTATTTATTTTTTTGAGATGGAGTCTCACTCTGTTGCCCAGGCTGGAGTGCAGTGGCACGATCTCGGCTCACTGCAAGCTCCATCTCCCAGGTTCACGCCATTCTCCTGCCTCAGCCTCCCAAGTAGCTGGGACTATAGGAGCCCGCCACCACGCCCAGCTAATTTTTTATATTTTTAGTAGAGATGGGGTTTCACCATCTTAGCCAGGATGGTCTCGATCTCCTGACCTCGTGATCTGCCGGCCTCGTCCTCCCAAAAGTGCTGGGATTACAGGAGTGAGCCACTGCGCCCGGCCTATTTATTTATTTTTTTGAGACGGAGTTTTGCTCTGTTGCCCAGGCTGGAGTGCAACGGCGCAATCTCGGCTCACTGCATCCTTCGCCTTCTGGGTTTAAGCAATTCTCTGCCTCAGTCTCCCGAGTAGCTGGGATTACAGGCACTCACCACCATGCCTGGCTAATTTTTTTTGTATTTTTAGTAGAGATGTGGTTTCACCATCTTGGCCAGGCTGATCTTGAACTCCTGACCTCGTGATCCACCTGCCTTGGCATCCCAAAGTGTTGGGATTACAGGTGTAAGCCACTGCACCTGGCCTATTTTATTTTTTAAAAATAAGAGACAGGGTCTTGCTATGTTGTCCAGGCTGGTCTTGAACTCCTAAGCTCAAACGATTCTCCCACCTTGGCCTCCCAAAGTGCTGAGATTACAGGTGTGAGCTACTGCACCTGGCCATATAGCTTGTCTTAATTTACTATGTTAAAAGTAGAAAATGTCTACATAATTCAATAGATTTTCTTCCTATATAAATTACAACAGGCTGGGCGCAGTGGCTCACACCTGTAATTCCAACATTTTGGGAGGCCAAGGTAGGTGGATTGCTTGAGCCTGAGAGCTCAAGACCAGCTGGGCTAACATGGCGAAACTCTGTCTCTATTAAAAATACAAAAATCAGCCCGTCTGGTGGCACGCGCCTGTAGTCGCAGCTATTTGGGAGGCTGAGGTGGGATGATTGCTTCAGCCTGGGAGGTCGAGGCTGCGGTGAGCTGTGATCGCACCACTGCACTCCAGCCTGGGTGACAGAGTGAGGCCCCATCTCAAAATAAATAAATAAAATAAAATAAATTACAACAGACAAGGTAAGGATTCTCACGATACAAAGGCAGTTAAAGGCTCAATTCACAAGGCATCAATGAGATAGAAACCATTTAATCACTGCATTTAGTTTCCAATACTCACACTAGAGTTGGCGAAAATTGAATTTGAATTGGCTGCAGAATATCCTGCATTAGTCAAGTCATCATTGCTCTGCAAAGATACAAATTCAATAGGTGGTTACTACTTTAACTGTAAAGCAGAAACAAAATAGATGTCTGTAGCGTGCTACGCATTACTTACAGATTTATTACTAGGTCCATGTAGAAAATAGTTCAATGCTTGTGGGTCTCTAGAAAAGAGAGGAAAAAAAAGAGATAAAACAACAAACAAATACACTACCTACATTTAGAACTAATTTTTACTAGAGTAGAAAGAAAATGATTACCTGAGTAAAATCCTCTCCCTATTTTAAAACAATTAGTAGTTTTTAAAATTTTTATCTTGTTTTTGTTTTGATATTGTGCCATTTCCTATTATTATTCACTTTTCCCTCCTGGGATTTATTAGGAAATAAATTTAACAAATAATTACTTGCTGGGCGCAGTGGCTCATGCCTGTAATCCCAGCACTTTGGAAGGCTGAGGCAGCAGGATCACTTGAGTCTAGGAGTTGGAGACCAGCCTATACAACATGGCAAAACCCTGTCTCTACAAAAAAAAAAAAAAATACAAAAAATACAAAAAATTAGCCAGGCATGGTGGTGCGTGCCTGTAGTCCCAGATACTTGGCAGGCTGAGTTGGGAGGATCGTGTGGGCCTGGGAGGTAGAGGCTACAGTGAGCTGAGACTATGCTGCTGCACTTCAGCCTGGGTGACAGAGTGAGACCCTGTCTCAAAAGGAAAAATAAAAAAAGAATTACTGAATTACAGCCCCTATGTTAATCAAGTCCTTTGTTTCTCTACTAAACCTATGATTATTATTTAATTTTTATTTAAAATACCTACCAGGTGTTAATACGCTATTAGGTTGTTTTAGTGTTCAGCAAATCTCACACATTTGATTTACCCGGGTTTTGGAATAAGCATCTTACCCAATAAGATCAAGGAGACACGAGTCATCATCATCATCCATGACAACTACAAAGAAAAGGGAGAGGGAAACAGGTTTCAGTAAAGCAGATTAAAGGCAGTAGTATCAATGCAATATAAACATATGCCTTACACTTTTCCGGATAAATAACTGTAATTCATGTGAGTTTTCCTCGGCTTATTATTAATGTAATTTTTGAGAGATAAAATATTCAATTTAAACTTTTTATTGGAAACAAACCCTTAACTTGTAAGTCAAAAAAGAATCTAGACAAATCAAAGATAGTTGGCAGCAACTTCCTTCACATGCAGATTCCCCCAAGGGGCTATAAACCATGAATAGTAACTTCCTCAAAATGTACAATAAACAAGGGGAGAAATAATATTTATGTTTTAGAAAAGATCTCATAGACATAGAGGTCTTTTAATTTTGTGACTCAATGTCCCTAAACATGGTGAACAATCTACATTTTTTGCCATATTCTGGCTATCTTTAGGAAGATAGGAAAATAGTTCTTCCTGCATTTAGAGAGAGAAGAGGGGCACCCTAGCCGCAGGCAGTCTCTGCAGGCTCTGGCCCGCAGGTCCTGTGTTCTCCCTCTGCAGCACCACCACCCCTGTTCAACTCCAAACAATCTACATCCTAACACTAGAATCCTTAAAGTAGAGAATCTCAACCAAAAAAGTTCACCCCAGCTCCAGGCCCTCAGATCCCTCTCTCCCCAGCCAGCGACAGCGTCAAGCTTAGCCAGTGAAATGACTATGCTTCAGCTGAACAACAACAACTGCACAGATTCCAAAAGCAGCTCTCCCCACAGACTGGGAAACTTACACTAGCGATCCGACACCTGGCAACACCGCTTCACACCCATTTTGAGCCATGCGTGGAATAATTTACATCACGGAATGCCAGGGCCAAGAGTTCTGGAGCAGTTGGAAAGGGCAGTTGTGAACAGCAGTTGGACGGAGGAATGAAATCCTGAAGAGATGCCCAGAAGAGGGACACGCCCGAAGAAGGCAGAAAGGACAGTCTCTACTAAATATTTTTCCTCTGTTAAAACTGCATCTCTTCTCCAATTCCCTCAGACTTCCCACTCTAACAGTCACAAGGCCAAACTAATATAAAATGTACTCCTGCTACACAGAAGGTAACTTGCTTTCCTCAGGAAGAGTCTGGAAGGGGTAAGTACCCCCACTGGGATCTGCCAGGGATCTTCCCCTTGGCGGGTGAATTCGTCCAGCTGCTGAATGATCTGGGAGATTACAAACCCTGTAGAATCCAATGGAGAGGAGAAATGGTGGTTGAGAAAGGAGGAAGAAGAAGTGGGAAAAGATACCAAAAGGTGACTCCCAAGGCTGAAACTGACAAGGGCAGCTGGCTAAGTGAAACCTGCTTTTTAGAACTCAGACTTGGAGTTACTCACGGGCACACTGGCATGACTATACTACCGTAACGTGACTGTGGAAGGAGTGAAGATGGGACAGAAAGAAAAGCAGGAAAATGATCATCACATAGATACAGAGAAATCTGTGTGAAGGTCTTCCCTTAAATCCTGACGACATTTAGTGAGATAAAATTGTATTAACCATGGCTCATCAGCAAACCATAGGCTTGTCTCTCAGGCATCACAATCATATGGAATAAATTAGCCAATTATGACATACATTAAGCCTATAAAGGAGATATTACTTTTTTAACATGACCACTTAAATTGAATTCCCCTGTATCCTTTGTGAATTCATTTTTTTTAAGTGTCTGTCTCTGGAACAAACTAATTAATAAAAATGTAAGTGAAAAATAGTCTATACCAAAGAAAAACACTTCCCCGACTCTCCCAGCTTCCCTCCTTACTTGACACACTTGCCTAATTCCTCTACTTGATAAGGTGCCCTAAGGGTTAAACAGCCCTGAGGCAGGAAGTCACCACCAGTCACTCTACTGAGGTGTTACTACCACCAGCACTTGCAAGCACAGAGAACATCTGCTACCCCTAAGTTCAGAATGACAAACTACTCCTTGAGTAGTGCAAACAGAACAATTTTATAATATTGAATGAGATTAAAAGCCATTGTGCAATCTTCTCTACCAAACAAAACAGGGGGTCAAACACTTGGCTTGAAAGAAGGCTCCCTGGGGATATCTACCCCCTATCAGCAGCATCAGGAACTGCCAGACAGGTCTTCTCCTCTGGTCCCAGTAGGTACAACTCTAGGAGCCTTTACAGTCGGGGCACCCTGAGAATTCTACTTTTTAAAGGGCCACACTCTTTTCTCACCTTAAAATGGTTTCAAATTAAAAGAGATGACCCCTTAGTCCTGTATTCTCTAGCTTCAAATAATGCCAAAATGTAGTCATAATATAGCCTAAACCAGGGGTTCCTTTCACCAGATGACCTACGGTCCATCAAAATAAATTTACCAAAGCAAAATTGTAAAACTTGACTATGATTTTAAAATGAGAAGATAGGCCAGGCACGGTGGCACATGCCTGTAATCCCAGCATTTTGGGAGGCCGAGGTGAGTGGATCACTTGAGGTCAGGAGTTCGAGACCAGCCTGGCCAACATGGTGAAACCCATCTCTACTAAAAATACAAAAAATTAGCCAGGTGTGGTGGCACATGCCTGTAGTCTCAGCTACTCGGGAGGCTGAGGCAGCAAAATTGCTTGAACCTGGGAGGCGGAGGTTGCAGTGAGCCGAGATCACGCCACTGCACTCCAGCCTGGGTGACAGAGCGAGATTTTGTCTCAAAAAATAAAATTAAAAAGAAAAATAAATAAAATGAGAAGATAATCTGAAGATCAGTCACTAAGACCCAGAAGTGAAGAATTTTGTTTTCTCTGGAAAGATTCTCCCTTTAATTCTGGACTCCTGTTGAGGCTCTTTTCTCATTCAAGTAACATCCCTAGATGGGTGGCTGACCCCAGGTAGATTTTATGAGGCTAAGGGGAAATCCCTGTATGAGTGGTTGGAAACTATTTCTGGGCCCAAGAGACGTGGGCAAAACGTCGTCCCCTCTGTAAATAGCAGCACTAGCACTCGGCAGTAGGATTTGTCGTGGAGAGAAGGGGGCTGTAGGCACCCCAAGAGTTCAGAAATCACTGCCCTGAGCACCTGACTACCTCTCTTAAAAAATTAAAGCTAATATTTAAAATTGTTCTGAATTGCACCAACAAACATCTTAAATAATAGCTTTTTGGCCGGGCGCGGTGGCTCAAGCCTGTAATCCCAGCACTTTGGGAGGCCGAGACGGGTGGATCACGAGGTCAGGAGATCGAGACCATCCTGGCTAACCCGGTGAAACCCTGTCTCTACTAAAAAATACAAAAAACTAGCTGGGCGCGGTGGCGGGCGCCTGTAGTCCCAGCTACTCGGGAGGCTGAGGCAGGAGAATGGCGTGAACCCGGGAGGCGGAGCTTGCAGTGAGCTGAGATCCGGCCACTGCACTCCAGCCTGGGCGACAGAGTGAGACTCCGTCTCAAAAAAAAAAAAAAAAAAAAAAAAAAATAATAGCTTTTAATCAAGAAGACACAGTGTAAAAATGACATTTCAAAGCGGTGGGGAAAAGTTGTTAACCATATGGGGAAAATAAGGTAGATTCACACCTCTTATCTTACACAAAATAAATTCTAGATGGATCTAGGCGTTACATGGTGGAGGGAGGAAGAAACTTAAAGTACTAGAATAACACATGGGAGAATTTTTTTTAAACAATGTTGGAGTGAGGAAAGTCAAAGGATGTCATAAGACACACAAGTCATAAAAGACTGACAAAGTCAACATAAAATACAAAGCTTCTGCATGATAAAAGAAAAACACATCATAAGCAAAGTCAAAGACTAAAACAAAAATAACTGGGAAAAATATCTCCAATTCATACCACAGAGTGCTTTTCTCCCTAATACATAAAGAGCTCCTATAAATAAGGAAAATTTTTTATCAGGGCTTTTCTCCCTAATACATAAAAAGCTATTCTAAATAAGGAAATTTTTTTTTTATCAGGATCCCTCCAGAATATCAAAGATTTAATCAGTTTATGAGCAATCAATTCACAACAAAGGAAATACAAGTAGCTCCTAAGCATATAAAATAATCAACCTTACTTACAATAAGAGAAATATAAATTAATATTGTAGTGAGATACTACATGTCCTGTCAGATTGGCAATGATAAAAAAGTTGGATGAAGAATTATGCTAGCAGGGAGTGGGGAAATAGGAACGTCTATACACTGACAGGATACAGTCTCATATAACCTCTAGTGAGGGCAATTCAGCAATGTCTTCCAAAATCTTAAGTGAATAAATCAGCTTACCAAGCAAATCCATTTCCAGGTATTTGTACTGCAGATACTCTTTTTTTTTCACTCACTTTTTTTTTTTTAAAGAGATGGGGTCTCTCTATGTTGGCCAGGCTGGACTTGAACTTCTGGGCTCAAGAGATCCTTAACCCTCTAAGTAGCTGGGCCTACAGGTATGTGCCACCATAACCAGCTGTCACTTGGATATTCTTTCACATGTGCCAAATGACATGTGTATAAGAATATCCAGGGCAGTATTATTATTATTTTAGTATTATTGGTTTTAACAAAGGACTGCAAAACCTTAGATGTCATGGGTATGGGGTTTCCTTCTGGGGCAATAAACACGTTCTTGAACCTGCTTGGCAATGTAGTGAGACCCCATCTCTATAAAACATTTAAAAATTAGTTGAGTGTGGTGGTGCACTCCTGTAGTTCCAGCTACTCGGGAGGCTGAGATGGGAAGATTGTTTGCTTTAGCCTAGGAGGTCAAGGCTGCAGTGAGCTATGATTACACTACTGCACTCCAGCCAAAGTGACAGAGCCAGACTCTGACTCTAAAAAAAAAAAAAAAAGTTATTGAATTAAACTACTGAGTTATATTCTTTAAAAAGGTGAATTTTATGGTATGTAAACTATACCTTAATTTTAAAAACTCTCTTAAAAACCCTAAATGTCCATGATTAAATGTCCTGATTAATTATGGTTTACCTACATAGTGGAATACTCTGCAGTCATTAAAACTAATGAGGCAGTTTTAATCATACTGACTTGGAAGGATATATGGTCAATGAAAAAAGAAAGGTGCAGAATAGTATGTACATTATGTTCCCAGATGTGTGTGTGGGAAAATACATACATGATGTGTGTGTGTGTGTAAATGTATAGACCCTAAAATGAAGCACAAGTAACCAGTAACACTAGTTACTTCTGGGAAGAAAACAGGGTGACTGGGGAACAGAGGAAGATACACTCTTTATTTATATGTCCTTTTGTACCTTTGAAATTTGTGCCACATGCATGTAAGATCTAATCAAAAAATAAATACAATTAATAAAACAAGGAGAAGAAGGAGACAAAATGGTCCTTGAAGTACAAGAACCTCAAGTCCGTTTAGCCAGGTGTGGTGGCGCTTGCCTTTAGTCCCAGCTACTTGGTAGGCTGAGGTCAGAGGATGACTTGAGCCCAGGACATGAAGGTTGCAGTTGAGTCGTGATCTTGCCACTGCACTCCAGCCCGGGCAAAAGTACCAAACCTATCTCAAAAATAAAATAAAATTTAAAAAGAACCTCAAGTGAGGCTCACTTTCCTTAAGTATACCAAATATACCAAATACTCAGAACTTTTTTTGTTTTAAAGAGACAGGGTTTCATTATGTTGCCCAGCCTGGTCTTGAATTCTTGGGCCCAAGCAATCCTCCCCTTTCAGTCTTCTGAGAAGCTAGGATTATAGGTACATGCTACAGTGCCCAGCTAAATACTTAGAACTTTTTTTTTTTTTTTTTTTTTTAAATTTTGTAGAGACGAGGTCTCACTGTGTTGCCCACGCTGGTCTTGAACTGCTGCACTTAAGCGATCCTCCACCTAGGTCTCCCAAAGTGCTGGGATTACAATTACCATGCCCAGCCCATAGAGTATTTTAAAACAGCCTACTGACCTGGAGAGTAAGCTACATCAGCTGTCTTAAAAGAAATGCTGTATCCTTTTTTTTTTTTTTTTTTGAGAGGGAGTTTCTCTCTTGTTGCCCAGGCTAGAGTGCAATGGCGCGATCTCAGCTCACCGCAACCTCTGCCTCCCAGGTTCAAGTGATTGTCCTGCCTCAGCCTCCCGAGATGGGATTACAGGCCCGTGCCACCATGCCTGGCTAATTTCATATTTTTAGTAGAGACAGGCTTTCTCCATGTTGGTCAGGCTGGTCTTGAACTCCCGACCTCAGTTGATACGCCCACCTTGGGCTCCCAAAGTGCTGGGATTACAGGCATAAGCCACCACGCCTGGCCAAGAAATACTATATCTTAAAAACAGTCTGAATTTAATTAAGCTCACAGCAAAACTTCAAAGACATCCAAGGCAGAGATATAACAGACTATCATTTTTTTTTTCACACAGAGGGAGAAAATCTAAGCTCTCATTAAGAAACATATTGGTTGCAAGAACAGGTATTTCAGGAAAGCTAGTGCGGCAAATCAGTTTTGCCTATTTAAGATATTCTGGGCTGGGCATGGTGACTCACGCCTGTAATCCCAACACTTTGGGAGGCCAAGGCGGGCGGATCACCTGAGGTCAGGAGTTCGAGACCAGCCTGGCCAACATGGTGAAACCCCATCGCTACTAAAAATACAAAAAATTAGCTGGACGTGGTGGTGGATGCCTGTAATCCCAACTACTCGGGAGGCTGAGGCAGGAGAACTGCTAGAACCCAGGAGACGGGGGTTGTAGTGAGCCAAGATCACCCCACTGCACTCTAGCCTGGGTGACAGAGCGAGACTCCATCTAAAAAAAAAAAGATATTCTGGCCAGCAATGGAAGAAAACCAAAACTGACCCTTAAGAGCCATGAAACAGCCTGGCCAACATGGTGAAACCCTGTCTCTACTGAAAATATAAAAAAATGAGCTGGGCGTGGTGGCATGTGCCTGTAATCCCAGCTACTATAGGGGCTGAGGCATGAGAATCTCTTGAACCCAGGAGGCAGAGGTTGCAGTGAGCCGAAATCTCACCACTGCACTCCAGCCTGGGTGACAGAGTGAGACCCTGTCTCAAAAAAAAAAAAAGAAAACAGGATTTCAAAGACTGCACAAACTGAAATTTGGTATGTGGCCACTATTACAAATATTTTTGTTTCCTCCCTTATCTGCTTCTCTGTTCTTTTTCTTCATTCAAAAATATAGCCTAGTGGCTGAGGCAGGTGGATCACGTGAGATCAGGAGTTCAAGACCAGCCTGGCCAACAGGGTGAAACCCCGCTCTACCAAAAATACAAAAATTAGCTGGGCATGGTGGCAGTCGCCTGTAATCCCAGTTACTCGGGAGGCTGAGACAGGAAGGAGAATTGCTTGAACCTGGGAGGCAGAGGCTGTAGTGAGCCAAGATCGCACCACTGCACTCCAACCTGGGTAACAGACTGAGACTTCATCTTAAAAAAAAAAAAAAAAAAAA